AGTAAGTATATATATATATATATATATATATATACATATATCATAGGAATGAAATACGAATGTAATATGAATACAATACTTATACCTTGATGTTAGTATATTAATCACTGTTAAAAATTTACTCTTTGTTAAATATTAATCAATGTTATTTGTTGGATATATTGGTTGTGTACACAACTGGGTTGACTGGTAAATTTTGTTACAAGTAACAAAATTTGGCAAAGGAGGGAGGAGTGAAGCAATTGGATATTTTTGAGGGAATTTTACAATTGCTTCAGTATTTTTAGTGTTTTAAAAGAATTTAAGAAAGAAATTATAATATTTTCTTAGTTTTTAAGCAAACATATACATGAAGAAATGGAATAAGTAAAAGACGCCTGTGTTACAAAATATAGTCAAGAGCTAGGAAAGTACAACTAGCTGGTTAAGTGGTATTGAGAATCACGAGTTAAAAGTTATAAAAAATGAAGCTATAACAGAGATGTTGAGAAAAATGCTAGCCATAAGTTTGAAAGTGATAAGTTACTGACACCAAGTTAGTAGTACAGTAAAGGCTACTAAAAAGTTTATGATAACATCTCAAATTGGCACTTTTTTGCAAGATCTGGTACTCCAGGCCAGTGTAATAGTACAAGTAAAAAGGCAACCAGAGCACTCACCATCACAGTAACCAATTGCTTAAGAGTTTTGGTTCTTGTTTTGGAATAGCCCGAGAAGTTGCATAGATTGACCAATAAAGTATTAGAACTACTTGCAGGTAGTTAGAAATATTATTTGGAAGGTCAAAAAAATACAAAGAAAATATGGTTTAAAGATTCATGTCCGGAGCTAAAAATCAGTTCTCTCCAGGAAGAATTGAGATTCTCTCTCCAGAGTCACTGATAAGCCAGAAGCTATGTAGGTTTCTCAACTGCAAAGATTTACTAGATCAACTATGTTGTTGTTTCTCCCGTAATCAATTAATGTAAATTGGATAGACTCTAAAAAAGCATATATAAGCTAAGACACTTCACATTACGTATGAGTTATAAGCATCAATGTTGTTAACCCAAATGTATTTTTCTTTAATGAAGAGTTAATAAATGATTAAAGAAGTGTATTTCATCTTAAGAAACTTAAATAAATTTGAAGTATTGTTTTGAATATCAGTCTCAAGATCAGTCTCTTTAGTCTAACCATAAATCTCCTAGAATTAGCAACTCGTGAGCTCCACTCACCACTGCAATCCTCAAATATATAAATTTGGTGTAATCAACAGTATAGTCGAAACTCCAACGACTAGTCCTAAAGGCACAGTCCATTATACACATACTTAGGTAGGGTCTAAGGTCAATGTAAAGTAATAAAATTAAAAGTAAGCAGATGCAAACAGATTAGAAAACTGAGGCTGTTAGGATAAATAACTGTAATTGTCTGTTACAAACTGCAGTCATTCAAGGAAAAAAAGGGTATTATTGATTTTACTTAGTATTTTTAAATTTTTTGTTTCAGTGTACCTTGACAATTTATCTACAGTTAGTATTAGAATAGAAAACACAAGATAAAAAATGAAACATTTTACAAAAAAACTTTTGATATTCACTAAGGAAGTTCTAGAGGTTAGGCAAAAGAAATGTGAAACTAAGGTGAAAAAAAGTTTTTATATTTTTTTATGAAAATCATCTTTCACTCAGACTGACTCAGTCAGGGCTTCATAATTTCACTGATAAGTCTTTAGTAGAAATCCTTTATTAAAATTCTGTTTTTTTGTGCACAACAGACTTATAAAGCTTATTAAAAGCTTGATAAATTTTGGGAAGATACATTTAATGAATTCAGAATTACAGTAAACATTATTATGTATAGCCTCACAGAAACATGGTTGGTCCAACTGACTGACAACAGAGTTAATATCGTGTCACAGGAGAAACATTTTATACATACATTAACATAAAAGCACATGAAAAACGTTTTACACATACATTAATGTCACAAGAGAAACATTTTACACATACACTAATGTCACAAGAGAAACATTTTAAACATACATTAATGTCACAAAGAGAAATATTTTATACCTGGCCTCGACAAATATTTTCAGATCTAGGAGCCAGCCCAAAAACTAAGGAGCCATGTGTGCTTAACCTAACTTCACTACTATTTGTACTGGGAAATGGTGGGTTACAATAGTGCCTCGATTATCCTTGCCTCCGTTATCCGTGGGTTTTTTCATTTCCTCAAATTTTCTCAAAATAATTGTGTCATTACAATTCTAGACAATAATTTTCATGTTTTGGAGAAATTGTTGCTCAGAAATTAATTTTTGTTGCAAAAGTTCAGGTGTTGCGTGATATTCAGGATTTTTGCATACAGGATCTGAAATGCATTCAAATTGTAAATTGGCCAATTCAAGCCTAGCCTTGCCTCTTTTATGTTTAGCTGCTAAGACAGAAATACAAAATATTTATAGCTTGGTTAACTTTGTTTGATTAGTAATTGAAAACATGGAATACAAAACACACATTACGATTTCTTAAAGATTTCACTCAACTTCAGTTGTCATCAGCTGTTCTATACTTTACAGCAGACATCCTTTAACCACAGCTGCATGTTCAGGTTGTGTTGGGGTGTCACCCAGTTATGCATTATTCTCTTCCCTACAGATAATTAGTATCTTCAGTCTGTTTTAACAAAGGCTTTTTTGTAATAATTCCCAAGCATAGATTTGTGCCAATTTTTTACTTATTTTTCACAGGTGTTTACAGAGTCCAAATCCACTTTCATGTCTATAGCAGAAAAAATGCCAAAATTTAGGAGCTATTTACGGCTATGTTAGTGATTAAATTCAACTAAAATGGGAATGGGCAATCAAAAGAAAAAGTGGAACTGGACTCATGTAACTCACGAAACTTGGAGAAATTGAGAGTGACTGCCTGACTGACCCTTGGCTTTTATAATTTTTCATGATAATGCGATTAAATGACAGTAAAAATATTATAATTTAAAACAAGGATACATAAGTGCCTTGATTACCTGCTGTTTCTGTTATCTGCGATATTTTGCTTTCCCTGGACCAATGTATATTTATTTACTTTCACAGCAATGAGTGCATGCTAACAATCACATGGTATCAACAACCACTTGATAGTATTGCCTGAACTAACTGCCTTTGGTCCCATCTGAGTCTAAGCATGTGGACTGATTGGTTGAATTGCGAAAAAGAAAAATGGCACAAAATTAGTAACATGTTGTGCAACTGCAGTGCTTCATTCCTGAAAAAACATGAAGAAGTGTTTAATCCGCCATTAAAATCCTGAAAACAAAGTTTGATTTAGGACACAAAGAATGTGAAAATAGTTCCGGACATCCAAGTGTCCAGAACTGTTTTATATTCAAATTCTACTTAGTACAGCCCTATGCATAAATAAAATGGGAGAAAATACTAGGCACCATAAAAAATGTTTTAGTCACCATGGTGACCTGGCACCCAGGATTTGTCGAGGCCTGTTTTACACATACTTCAATATCAAATCACAAGAGAAACATTTTACACACATTAATATTAAATCACAAGAGAAAATTTTACACGCACACATTAATATCAAATCACAAGAGAAATACCTTACATAAATATCAAAGTAAAAAAGAAACACTCAGATCATATATGATAGCTGACCAAAACACCAGTGCTCTACAGCAATTATCTATTCCAACTTTTGTTTTATTAAAAACTTTAATATTTAAACATTTATGCCTTTTGTCTATATTTTATCATTGCTTTACAGCCTGCTCATTGTTCCTTGTTGTTGCAAATCATCAGTAATTAATTCATTTGATGCACAATGTTTTTCCATTTTTGTGGGTATTTGGAAAATCTAAACATAGAAATAAGCAGCTTACCCTGACTGTAGCACTGATTCTGTAACTAGATCTACCAATCGAAAGGCAAGACGTCGAGGAAGCCGGTCAAAAAGCTTCAAATGAGAACCTCGAGCATGGCCTTGGAGATTTCCATGGATCTTTTAGGACAAAAAATATATAATGCTTTCATACATATATTAAATTATTGAAAACCTCTATAAGTTGAAAAAAGATATCTGGAAGCATAGTTCTTATGTTTAATGCATATTTTTCATCATACTTTACTCATTTCAGCACTAAGAAGAATAAATAAACAATATAATGAAGAAATAAAAAATGATACATTTATCTAATGTTTAATATTTCTTTTCTTCTTCAACAATTTCCACTAAACATTTTTAAAAGCAAAATATAGAATACTAATTACTGATTGAAAACCAGAACTTAACATATTCATCCCTCACATTAAACTCCGTAAATGTACTGAGCCTTCAAATTATCCACAGTGCTTTTTGTTGCTCTGACCAAGAGAGAGAAAGTTACTCAAGTGAATGTAAGTCTATAAGCAGATACATCTGTTAACATTAACCTGAACTTAAAAATGAAATGCCAATATACACAAGCAAAGAAATAAATAGGCCATAAATTGAAATATTTCTATTTAACCTTAAAGTACTATCTGCTTATATTTAACAATTTCCTGCTTAGTTAAATATAAAAGTTTTATGACTTATCAGGGAAGAATTGTTACCCTTATAGATGAAATTAGCACTTACTTGTAATAGAGTATGTTTGTGGAGAAGATTTGCAGGTGAATTTAGCACTTACTTGTAAAAGGGTAGGTTTGTGGTGATTCACACTTACTTGTAAAAAGGTAAGTTTGTGGAGAAGATTATTTCTGTTGTGATTTGCCCGTGTTTTTACCAGGTTAGAAGTTTTCACCACAGTTTGTTGCTCTTGAACATTCTGTCTCTGTCTAGCTGTACTAGTGTTAGATGTGTTACTGCAAACTCTGGTGGTCATTTTTCAATCGTTTTCTGATCCAAGACTGCTCGTCCTAGATTACATTTCTGATACCCTTTAAAAATTGAAGGCTTTGTTACTATAGCCTCCTTCAATCACTCAGTTAACAATTTCAAAATTGGTTTGTTATTAATAAAAAAATATTTTCTAGTCATTATTACATCTTTAAAACCAAACAATAGTATATTCTACAAGAATAGAAAAATTCTTTGCCAGTTAAGATTAAAAAATGTGTTAAAATTATTCAACAATGCAACATTTAGAATAAAACCAATTTACATCTTCACAAGTAATGTTAGAAAATAAATTATCATTTTTTGCAGATTTTAAATATGTGAAAAATATTGCACTTCAAAAGAGATTTGTTTTAAACAATAATTATGGATATAAAAATTTATGCTACAAAAGGAATACAATTTTAAAGATTTAAGAAGCAATGGAATTTGAAAACCAAACTTTTAATTGCAGTGACATTCAATTCCTGCACTAACAACACATCTTAACCAGTTATTTGAGTGAAAAATTCAAGTTATCACTAAATCTTTTTGATGTTCATTTGTAGAAACACTAATTAATAAAAGCAATCAGAAGTACTATGTTTAGTAACTAGTTCATTTATAAAATAGGTTTATTTTACAAAATATTCCACTAAGGAACATATAAGTACATCATGAACTTCTTAAGATTCACCTTATACTTGGCTTCTAGTCAAAACTTTTGTATGGAAAAGTTTTAGGTTGCTTCTAGAGCTGGGAAATCTGTGATATTTACTATTTGATAGATTAATCAGGTAAATTAAATTTATTGATTCATCTCACATGATGTAGCTTAAGAAACAAGTTATAATGCTAAAAATCAGGTTTCAATACCTTATCGTGCTTAACAATAAATATAAGGGAAACATTTCAATTAATAGGATAGTTGGAATAATTACAAACAATAGTATATTATTTTTATAAAATTAATTAATTAACTGTAATTTTTATCACTGCATAGTTGGAATAATCAAAACACAATAATAATCAGAAACACTAGTTGATCATTTCTGTGACATTAACTGATTTAACCATACTTTTGATAAACCAATTATTTTACAATGTAATTAATGTTCAAAGGTGCTCAGTTATTAATTGACCAGTTCTAATTAGTTCTATGGAGAGTTTCCATTCAAGCAGTACCTTAAAAACTTTTATGATAATTTTATACAGTTTTTAGTGAAGCGTCATAATAATGTTTAGGTTAATTTCTTCATAAACCCTACATTATATGAACAAATAATAAAAAATACAATTTTTATGCCATTTAAGATAAAAAATAAAAAGATTCTTACAGTTCTAGTAAATACAGATAAATTCAGTGAAAATGATAAAAAGTTTCAAAGGGTGGCATACCCCACACCCTCCAGTCTAGTTTCGTCAATCATTTCCTCCAAAAACAGAACCCCCCTTTACATATTTACAGCTGTGCCCTGCTATTATAGATGTAACAATTTTCATTTTTGTGAAAAATGAGTAACATTTATTAGATCTGTCATTCAGTGAGTAAAGAATTCAAACTGTATATCAATGAAAACATATATTTTATCTTAATCTGTCTAAAAGGCAGTGTTGCATGTAAATAACTGTACAAATGAAATTTTGTCATAGGTAAGGGGAATTGGTCATGACATTTTTGTTGTCACAAATATAACAAAATAAAGCAAGTTGATGGCCAAGTTTACAACCAGATGTACACAAAAAATTTGAACATTACAACATTACTTCAAACTACCTGTTCAGTTTAATACTGAATAACAGCGAACAATATAAAAATTGACTGCTAAATTAATCTGACCTCAAAACAACCAAAAATATTTAGAAATCACAAATTACTGTTGTAGTTACTGTTTATTCAGAGTGATGAATTATGTGGTACTGGGAGTTGAACCTACAGATTTAAATATTTTTTGTAAAGTCAAAATACCTATGGTTACCCAATAAAATGTTACATAATATTATATATACCATCTTAATTTTAGAAGCTAATATTTATTAGCCATTAAATGTTTTAAAGTTAATACAGAAATTCGTCCTTTTAATAAACCTAGGGTGTCTCAACCATTGAGCCACTGCAATACCAGTAAATCATCTCTCTCAAATACATAGTACATGCAAACAATAGAATTTCTTCAGTGATTCATACATATTTCTGGTTGTTTGGTATCAGAATTAAATTTATAAATGGTATTTCTTTGGTGATTTATATATATTTGTGGTTGTTTTTTGGTCAGAACCAGCAACCAAAAATGTTATAACCAAGTGCTAATTTTCTTATTTTTTTTCCATTATTTGGTATTAGACTAAGTCCTAAAATTTAAAAATGAGCCCTACCTACATTATGCTTTGACGATAAAACTAAGAAATATATTTTATTTTTAGGCCTAAATTAATGACGAATAACATTGACAGAGCACTAGATGATGATCGGTCATGATCATGTAAAAAAAAAACAAAGAACGCTCGTTTAAATCTTGAACTGTAGAAAACATTACCTATTCTCACACATTTAACTATTCACACAACGCCGAGTAAAGAAAATGTTCTGAAATCTGAGAAAAATCTAGCTTATTGTCTATCATTGTTAATGTCATCAAACTACTATAACAACTTTACTCTTTAGTTCACAACTTGGAAAGTAATAATAAAGTTATAATATAAAACTATCACTCAGTTTGGGATTTTCATACAGAATTCATATCTGTGTCAATCAAAAAATATATAAATCATTTAAAAAATAATACCGCTAGCTTGGGCACTTTACGCCACGAAATTTTCATTTTAACGAAAACTTAAAAGAAGAAATTATTGTTAACTTCCATTACAAAACAGACAGTACTTAGTCAGTCTCCTAATGGTGTATCAAACACATAGATGACGCTGTATCTAAGTGAAAATATAATGTCAGAGAAAAAATCAAATGCCCAAAGAAATCAGTATAATAATATAATTTTATTTCACTTAGAAACTTTAGATTAAATTTGCTTATCAAATCATACCCTGATTTACTCTCAAAATCTGACTATAATTGCCGTTGTCCAGGAGTTTCTTTTCACTTGAAATTTTATGTTAAATATTACTCTTTTATTCTGGTAGATAACGATACGGCATGAGATTATGCAAGTTCTTTTACATAATAAGGAAAAACGAATTCAAATATTATTTAATTGAAATTCTGTCTAAAAAAGGCCTCAACATTGAGACTAAAACTTCTATTGGAATTTCGTACCTCATTTAGCTCAATTGAAATATAATACAGGATCTCTTACTCTTATGGACAACATCTGTGTGTTATTACTATAGTTTTTTGTTTGTTTGTTGTGGTTTTTTGTTTTTTGTTGTTAAATGAACTCAAGATCCTGCAAAGTTCGACTAGCCCACGAGACTTATGCTTTCCGTTTTTGAGATATTGGGTTTACGGCCCAAAATATCATTAACAGCAAGGGTACTCAACTGATGAAGAAACGCATTCTGTTCATCAAGTAATACAGTTTGAAGATAATATATATATAATTAGCTATGCTCGTCACTACGTATATATATTTAGTTCTGATATATCTGGAAAATGTACTTTAATCGGAGGTGAATATTAATTTATTTAATGTAAACACTAGAGCTTTTTAAATATAATTTTATATTTAAAAACATAGTATTGGATATTACTTTATTCTGTTGTAAGAAATGTGTTATTTAACAAATAAGATTACTAAAGGCAACTGTGTAGGGTACTATCCTAAAAAAATAATAAAAACATCACCTCTCATTCATGTAACGAATTATGGCATAATTTCGCAGTTTTTTTTACTCAAGCAGGAATGGGGTGGAAATAAAAAAGAACAAGCGCTTTTATTTTGCAAGAAAATTCATATACTTTCTCTTACGAAAGTGTCAACACATTACTAATCATTTTCTGTATATTGCAAAGCTGTATGGAGAAAGAATAAACTAGTTTTAATTAAGAAAGGACTTGTATTGCTGAAGTTTCTCGGAAATAATTTCTACAGGAAATTAACAAACAAGCAGATACACTACAAATTGGTGTCAGAGAGTGGGACAGGAAAGAGAAGAAAAAAAGAAGAAGAAGATGGAAACGAGAGGTGGCAATTCAAACTATAGCTTAGCAGATTTGATGGCAGCAATACGAGAACAGCAAAAGAAACAAGAAAAACGAGAAAATAAACAAGAAAAGTGACAACAGCAGTTGCAAGAAAACCTGCAACAGTGGCAGCTCGAACAGCAAAATAAACAAGAAGAGAGATTACAGCAGTTGTTGAAGGAAAAAGAAAATAAACAAGAAGAGAAATTACAGCAGTGGTTGAAGGAAAAAGAAAGGAAACAATAAGAACGAGAAAATAAACACGAAGAGAGACAACAGCAGTGGCAAGAAAATCTGCAACAGTGGCAGCTCGAAAAGCAAAATAAACAAGAGAGACTACAGCAGTGGTTGGAGGAGAAAGAAAATAAACAAGAAGAGAGATTACAGCAGTGGCAACTGGAACAAGAAATGAAAGAGTCTCCAACAGTTACAGGAAAGTCAGCAGCAACTACAGGAAAGTCAACAACAGTGGCAAGAAGTACAAATGGATAACATTAGTAAATTTCAAAGTGAATTAAATACATTAAAGGATGATTTACTGTCTTTTACACAGTGAAGATATGTTAGCCATGGACCTAATCAGCACAGACAACGGGAAGCCCCTTCCAGACCCCGCAGCTAAACCCTAATGCAGACATCTTCGGTCCTGTTAGAAGTCACATTCCAGACATGAGTGTCAGCAATAGGGGTGATCTAGTACGAAGGAAGCCACAGGAATTCGATGAGAAGGCACCGTGGGAAGCATATAGAGCACAATTTGAGCTCCTGGCAAAAATGAATGGATGGACAGAGGAGCAGAAAGCAGTGTACCCGTCAATGAGCCTGAAGGGACAACCACTGG